GGCACAGCATAACACATACCCCCTGTATGTAAACTAATGTAACATGAAGATACACAAACATAAAGGTTAGCCACTTTTGTTGGTAATTAATGTGAGTAAAAAGGCATCATGTTTTCATAGCTGGTTTTAATCAGCTATGTCCGGAACACACACAAATGTATAAGGAAGGAATGATTTAAAACAAAACCGTTCACAGCTTAGAAAAGCACACTTATTGCACTCTTACATTTTATTTCAGATAATTATGGTTTATTTCCCACCCTCACATCAATTTTTCCCTACCCTCAGACTTACTCCCACGCCCTCCCCTGTCCTATTTGGTCCATTTTCTCTCTATTTGTGCCTAGTCTGTGAGCTTTGTTGCTTATGCTAGTTTGAAGTTTCCTCCGATGTATCTCCTACTCCACCAAAGCACACCCGGGTTAAAAAAGCTTAATACACAAATGCAACACAGTAATTTTCAAAAGAAAACCAGTACTAAGCAACTTACTCATAATCCCCATCTGCACCCCTGTAACCAGAACCCTTCCTCTGCCACATCTCAGTGAAACCCATCCCAGTCCCACACAGATACCGTGCTGAGAACCAGCCACGCGTGGGTGCTGGACAACCCACCCAGCCTGCCAGGAGATGCGGATTGTTTGCACAAATCCTTTTTCACTTTTTTATACTTAACAGGAATAAATATATTTCAGTTCTTTGTTCTTAAAGAGTATTTCAATCTATAGAATTCTTTCAAAAAATGCATCACAAAAAAACAGATACACTGGCTGTGTACTCATGCACAACTGGTAATACCATTGTAATTAGTCAAAACAGCTAAATAAAATTAAACATTTTAATAAAACTGATTTAATAATAAGACTAAATAAACAGTTCAAGTTGTGATGCTAAAAGATCTACTTAAATATTTTTTGAGGTGGGGACTAACTGTCCCTATGCATTTTAAAATAAAGCCCTGTGACCTTAATTTAAGAATTTAGGAATTAAGTTTTTGTCCTTTTCTATCTTAAAAATACCCACCAGAAACTGTTAACTACCCTTTCTACAACTGAGAAAACTTAGGACTGAATTTCAATGTAAATATCTTTGCCAAACAGAAGTATAAATAAGTTATCTGAAAACAAAACAAAGCTTAGCTTATTGCCTACTGTACTGATATCACAAAACCTTACCAGCGTTTTTGATTTTACCAGAGCTAGCAACATGGACCATGAACACACTGGCCACGTCATTCTCCGGTGGCCAATATACAAATCAGGCAGCGATGCTACCGTACTCTTCGGGTGCTCAGTGACCTGTGGGTGTAGGAATACCCCTCAGTGAGCACCTTGAGAACTCGCTGTGACAGTGCACTGCCTTTCCTGGGGCGGTGAGGAATGAAGATATGAGAAGCATACCACGGAGCGTGTCCAGTGGGCAGCAATGGCCAGGCCAGGAACTATTCCAGTGCTTCCCATGAAGGAGGCCCGACACCTCACAGCACCCCCAACAGGATTAGCAGCACAGTCCTGCTTAATTTGCCAACCAGTCCTGGAAGGCAATTGTAATGTTTCAAACTCTGAAAAATCTGTGTCTAGGTTGGCAGCAGTACTCTGGAGACTGATAAAATCTAATTCTGCCCCATATTTTAATTTCTTTCCCCCTTCTCACTAAGTTAACACACACAACTGCTGCCCAGCCTATAGTACTTCAACCTTGAACTACACAATTTCTTAAAATGTCTGTCAAATATTTCTGTTATATAAAAATTCCATGCTTTGAGAACCTATGGGAGTAGAAAAAGTTTCTCTAGAAATGTCACTGAACTACAATTTCAACCTATTTGCACTATATGATAAATATATCTGACTATACTAGGGGTTATGTGCTTTAAAAAAATAATTTTGTTCACTGAAAATTTACCTGTGTTTTCATTTTTTAAATGTGATTTGGCTATAAACTCTTTAGTGCATTTATCTTTGCAGTCTAAATTGCACTCTAAAAAATATTAACACAGCTGAGTTAGACCAGAGTGGCTGCTCTCTTCATAAATCACTGATTTCTGCTAAAATTTTAGCTTTTTTTTATTGCATCATGAAGGCACAGTAAGATCATTTGGCAAATTGTCAAGGTATTTCTCTACAGCCTCACCTACACCATTTCAATGTCTGATCTATAAGCTATTTTGTGTTCACACTCAGTAAACCTTCCATGTCTGGCTATGTGTGTGTTTTTAAATAGCCTAATGGTTGGAATCTGCTGGTCTCCAGGTGCTGCTATTCTAGCACTAACAAGGCCAACTTGGACAAAGAAGAGAATCTTGCAAAATGGGTAATCACTTTCTCCCCCCTTAGCTGGGCAGTTGGTCGGAGTATCTGCACATGTGACAAGGCTGTGGCTAACTCATTATGAAGGTGCACTGTCCTGCCAAGCCCACTGACAATTAAAATTATATCATTGTTAGTGAAGTGATACCATAACTATTTAATTTCATGCAACTGACTTAAGGTTGATATTCTGAAACGTACCCCTAAACAGGTTCTGGCACCATTTGCAACAACATTCAGACACTCTGCTACATTTTTCAGTATTACTGCCTAAATGTATAATGCCCTTCAGGACAAAATGAGAGCGTTCAAATACAAGCACACATAAAAGTTAAAATCCTAAATCATCTTCATGTTCTAGAGCTCCTGACTTCATATTTTAAATAAATATTCATTACCTCATTCTGAGGAGGTAGTTTTTTGAAGAGGTCACCTGAACTCTGTAGTATGTTTCAAACTAAAGCTAGATGAGGTTTGCCTGAGGCAGAGGGTGAATGTACAGGGGGGGCGGTGAGGCTGAGGAGGGGTGTGCAGCAGTGCCAACGTTGCCTGATGAACAAATGATAACATTATGTGATTAAGAGCTGTGACCATATCCCATGAGAATCTAGGAAATATTTAGTTTCAGGTGGACAGTGGTGAAGTCCTGAATTATCTCTTTATAACTAATCTCTTTCTTCTCCAACACCAACATGAATATAACACATATACTTCATATATGTGATTTTATCTTCTAGGATGTCCCAGTACATCCTATAGATCTCACATACAATCAGGGACTGCACGTCCAGGAACCAGATTTTGACAGCTAGACAGAGCCTTCTTTTAAGGTGCACACGAGTACAAAGAATCACACTGAATTTTTCTATTCACAAATCCCTTTTATAAACTACTTTTTGGCCAATATTATTTCAGTGGCAAAAATCTACACCCTAGACCAGTGATGGCGAACCTTTTGAGCTCGGCGTGTCAGCATTTTGAAAAACCCTAACTTAACTCTGGTGCCATGTCACATATAGATATTTTTTGATATTTGCAACCATAGTAAAACAAAGACTTACATTTTTGATATTTATGTTATATATTTAAATGCCATTTAACAAAGAAAAATCAACCAAAAAAATGAGTTCGCATGTCACCTCTGACACGCGTGTCATAGGTTTGCCATCACTGCCCTAGACTGTAGTTTAATGATAAAGTCCATCAGCTAGGAAAAAACAAAACAATACAATTCCATCAGGATTAAAACAATCTTTTATGGTTACTCTCAAATTTTTCAGGCTTCACCTCTCCTTACCCAAAATAAAAGGCCCCACGGAAGGCACTGCAGCCACTTTACGGAAAAGACAGACAGTTACCGCCTTGGGAAATAATCAGTGAAGCAGCCACATGTTATCCATTCAATTACTCATAAAGTGCTTTGCACGTCAAGGAGTTCTTCCTTGTATTTCTTAGGAGCTCAGCAAGTCTATCTGTAGTTAACCATCGGACAGTAAAGAAAGTGAAACTCAGAGGGAAACCCCTTTTTCATGTCAACTGTAAACTAGAGAAAAAACAACTTGATGGAAAAAAGGAAAAGGGAAATTTTCAAATTTTATTTTTTAAGGGCTCTATAAAAATTTCTCAATACCACGAGCCTGGCTTCTGGGCACAGATTCATTTGAGATAGAGTCTGTTTCTCCTTTTCAAATGAGATAGCAACCTTTTCTAAAAAGAAAGAGAAGAAAAAAGTGTATCACCTTGAACAGTGTTTGGAAAACCCCAATGCCAAGCTTCCTCCAGAACTAGGTCTGGTGCTGCTCCAGCCATCCAGGCAGTCCCGCACCTGAGCCTAGCAGCTCTACCTGCTCAGCAGACATGCCTATAGTTTAAGACCAGCTCTCTGCAATCTTGGTACAGGGAACACAAGCATGTTTAAAAGCATCCATGGCAGCATATTTAGAAAGAAAAATAGACAATGCTTTTAAAAGAGCCAGCATTATACATACAAGATGCTCTTCAAACGAGCATGAACCATTTTACATCTTAGTAATTTCTGAATTTTGTTAAGATACTGCTCTGCTCATTGTAAGACTTAAGAACACACTGCTTTTCAAATTCACTAATAGCTTCAGTATACTTTCCATTCTACTGGGACAACCTTTTACACGTCCATGGCATTTTCCTGTGAATACAGGTATTTTAGCAAAAATCTAATGGCAGTGAGTGTTAATAGGCTGAAAGATAGTAGGGTGTTACAATTTGAAATTTTAAAATAACAATTTCTAATTCCCTGCTATAGTCCTATCCAATTTCTCTCAGATCCTTGGCTACCTAGTTGGGCTAAGTACATTTGATTTGATTTACATTCCCAAATCCTCTAAGAGATTCTAGATCCATGATAAGGGAGGTATTTGCCATTAATATGTCCAGAGTCACTTTCTTTGCTTCTACCGTGACCTACACCACTCTTTAGTAAATGCCAAAGGAAGCTATGGCTAGGTTATATTTTCCGTTTATATAAAGATAAGGAATGAGGTTCTTAATATCACAGCAGCTCTTTCTGTAAAAACAATTGACGTTAGCTTCACACATACTCTCTCAGTCCCAATACACCTAAAATTGCTCTATTATCTGCTTGGGGAACTCAGCTGCCAAATTACCCAACCTTTTGAAGACCAGGCTTGGGAAAAAAGGAAAAAGAAGAATGAATGGAGACACCACCATTTTTATTTTAGGTTGCATATTCTAGGTAAAAGAAAATGAGGATGTAGTGTAAGAGTAAACTGGAAGAAACAATGAGATATTAGCAAAGATGTTAGTGTGGATCCAGCAAGTACCATTAATTTAAAAATTATAAATATCTGTCATATGCTAAGACTCCCCATGTTTAGGTAGAGGAAGGATGATGATTTTTCTTTAAAAGTTGTTTATATAACAAAAATACAATTTTTCAGGATATATAATTCTAATGGGAAGTGTTTTATTCCAATTCAATTAAATCTGAAAATTATTTTTTTAATAAAAATATAATAGAAGAAACTCAGAAATTAAAACTTGTACCTTACATTTAAATTATATAAATGTCTCACATTCAAAACTGTTATCAAGCAGTTCTGTAGGCTTTTAACTAAATACCACCATGGCATTTTTGTGCCTTAGGCAAAGTAGCCACATAAGTACTTGGTGACTGGAAGAGCTTAGGAGGAAGATTTTCCTGAGAACTTGCTATATTGTGGAGGGAAAAAACCCCCAGACACTTCTCTTCATTGCTGGACCCAATGAACAAAGAAGACAATGTGTGCCAGCACTTTCCAGCCTGCGTGGGTAGGCAGACACCCTCAGTGAGCAAGGAAGGAAACAGAAGGCCAGAAACCCAGGAGGTCAGGAAAAAGATGCAGCATTCCCTTTTCCTCTGCACCAAAACGTAGCTCTGTCTCCCTCTCATCCTCCACTTAAATAAAATAGCTTCATTTTGATAAAAATGAGTCAAGGACTGAACGTGCATCACACAGGTAGGGCATGCTGCATTTTTGTTCCGTCCCTCAGAAATGAACCAGTGGTGGCTAGGGGAAAGAGCTCCACAACAGACTCCCAGAACAGGAAAGAGAACGATGCTTGGTGATTGCAACTGCCCCATCAGATGATCAGCCACACATTGATCTGGTGGTTAGAAGGGCACAGTCGACCGGCAGACTCCAGAGCCAATCTCCCAAGCTGTAGCAGCAGTGTCTTTCCATCATGCCTGACCATCAAAAGGCCAGAACTCAGGGTCTCTCGTCTTCCTGGGACTGGGCAGACTTGTATGCACGTGGTGTTTGTGTTGAAGAAGAAACACTGGCAGCAGAGAATTCTGGTTCCTAAAACATTCTTCCCTCTTTTCTTGGATGGGAATTTCCATTCTGTTCCACATCAGCTTATGAATTGAAAATTTCATTTCTTTAAAAAAGGATCTGAGGAACAGAACTGTGTTTGATGTTAACAAACTGTACGAACACAAGACTTAAGAAATAAGAGTAGATGCTGCCATGATGGTGTGGCTACTTGAAGGCTGCAAATTCTCCTGTAGAGGGAGGACAAGAGCTAATTTTAAAAAAGTTACCTTAATTAACCTAGGTTTCTTAATTAACCTAGACACAGAGATAAGCCTCACTGAAACCTCACTGAAAGGTGACTAGCTGTCTGTCTATTACAAATCTAGCAACATCATCATTAATTTAAAAAGCAAAAATGGTTGAAACCCATGAAGGAAGACAACTTGCATAGTAGACAGACTATGGATCAATTAATCAGTTAACTGCCATGCGTTCAAAACGGAAACCATTCCACACCCCACAATATTTTGAATTAAAAAATCAATTTGCAATGAATATTATAAAAATAAATATATTACAATTCGGGTGTTCTTGAATATTTTCAGCTGAAAATTCTCACGAAAAATAACTTTTAAAGTTGGTCAGGGCTGCTACTTAAGGAAAACATTTCTTTTTATAGATGCACGTGGCCTATGGGGAAGGCCCGCCGCTTGCTTCTATCGATGCTTATGGCGTACAATGGGTTAAATATCATGTCTGCAGATAATTTCCTAGTTGGATTTTACATGCTATGGTTCTAATCAAGCTGAAAACAGTTCCAATGAACAATATATCTCCGAAATGGATTATAAAATAGTAGGGTTGGTTTGCCCCTGAATTATCAACTCATTTCCATTATAATGCCACTATTAGAAAGGAAGAAGCAAAAATTATCCTCATTTGCAAAAGATAAAATTAAGAGGTCAAATGATTTGTACACATTACACATCTGACAGCAGGAAAGAAAGCCCGACCCTCATCTTCTAGTTCATTTCACCTTTTAAACTACCAATAAATTACACATAGGCACATGTCACTGGACATCATTCTCAGCATAAGAATTCTTGAAACCATGATGTCTGTTTGAGGTACGACACTCCTTTAGCTTACTAAGTTTGGGGGCTTCATAGAAGGGCCATTATTCACCTACCGCTTTGTCCACAGCTTCTACTTATAAGTAGAGGTTGGTTCCTCTATTATATACACTATTAGAGGCCTGGTGCACGAAATTCATGTGTGTGTGGGGGGAGAGTCCCTCAGCCTGGCCTGCATTCTTGCACAATCCGGTAGCCCTCAGGGGATGTTTGACTGACAGTTCCCATGGGAAGTGGGCCTAAGCTGGCAGTCAGACATCCTTAGTGCTTCCCAGGAGGGAGGAGAGACTCCCGCCACTGCCTCTGTGCTCATCAGCCATGAGCCAGGCTTCTGGCTGAGCAGCACTCCCCCTGCGGGAGCGCACTGACCACAAGGGGGCAGCTCCTGCGTTGAGTGTCTGCCCCCTGATGGTCAGTGCACATCATAGTGAGTAGTTGAGCTGCCTTAGCATATCATTAGCATATTACACTTTGATTGGTTGAATGGCCAACTGGGTGACCAGACAGCATATTAGGCTTTTATTATATAGGATAGTTAATTTCTGGGGGTTGGTTAATAACTGAGAACTATCAGAATTTAGTCAGCCTTAACATCATTTTTCAGTAATAGCAGCTTCTGAGGAGGATTCACTTATATACTATAAGTGAATAGTGTATTCACTTATATGAATAAACTGTTTAATCCAAAAGTAACCTACTCATTTTCTGATTGCTATTAGATTCTGCTTACTAGAGAATACTGGCATATTCCAACAACCAACAGATTGCCAATGGCTGACTGAACACTGAGATTATATGTTGTTAATATTAGCAACTAGTTGAGTGCCTGTTATATATCAGTGAGGTCACTGAATACCTTATATATGTTTGCATCTGATCCTCCTAATAACTCTACGAGGCAGGTGCTATTACTTCTCTTCATTTTACAAAGGAACAAACTGGGGTTTGATTAAGTAACTTGCCCAAGATCTCACAGCTAGAAAATGGCAGAGTTGGAATGCAAAGCCAGGTGCTGACTCCAAAGTCCAGGGTCTTAACAATTAACAAGCCCCTAAACAATTTTCAATAATTAATAATTTGTTTTCCCATTCTGAATACAGCTACTAACTGGGCTGCAGGTAGTGATACTATCTCTTTCCATCTAAAGATTTCTTTTAACAAACAATCAGCCAAGGTACTGTGAGTCAAAAGATCAAGGAAGAGTAAAAGAATTATTACTTCATACTTAAATTTAAAAGGAATAGGAAGTTAGGCACTGATTAAAAAAATAGCCAAAGTACTAAGACCTTGGAGAGTAAAACATTTAGAGCATAACCATAGGAGGATATTATGTTAATAGAGACTCAAGAAATATATAAACATTCTCATTATGGTTTGAGTACCTTATAGTTTTAAGATTGCTTCCCCCCCCCAGTATTTTAACATATTTCTTAAAAGCAATTTTCAACATTCTTATGAGTAGGCACTGTAGGAAGCCAATGTAAAAACAAGATTTATTTAACAGAAAATCTTCATAAAAATGCTAGAATTCATCTATTAAGTGAGAATATCAGAAAATGACAACTTTATGCCAAATCTTAGATACTACATTAAAATATAACCTGGAAAAAGTCTTCAATGTTTCTTACTCATTATTACAATCAGACACTCCATTTTGTTGAAGAGTGTTCTACTCCATAAACCTAAACATTAGCCTTAAAAATAAAAATATCCAAAACACCCCAAACGTACAAACTCTTACCAACACAGTGGAAACAGAATAGCAGTAAGGCGACCACTACTGATCATCCCACCCGAGTCACTGCTTTTAATGGAATGTAATTCTTTTCATGCTCAGGCTTCAGCTCGAGAAAAAGACAAGCACAAAAAGAACTTCGAGTTTAGGGATCAATAAACTCTTTCTATATATGTCCCTGAAATCACAGAGAAATTTAAGAAAAAGATGAGGGTAACAGGTAATGGATCTGTTTTGGGGAAAAAAAAAAATCTTTTCTTGCTTAGTCTTTCCTGCATTACCTGGCAATCTCTATTATTATCCCATCTCCTGACTTATTTTATTTGAAATAAGAATCAACTCTGCTTGTCTGAAGTTATTTGAAGTGAAATATCCAGATACTCTGATTAAAAAAAAATAAATCTCAGTATATTATTAACTGAAAAATCAATCAGAGGCCAAAATAAAGCTTACAACAAACAAACACCTCCTTTCTGGATGAGAAGCAGCTAAGCTCTATTTTCTATTCGACTTTATTAGGGATAGGGCAGAGAACAATTGGGAAGACCCTGTGATTTTAGACACTTCAAATATCATGGTTTATTTGAAAACTAAGAATTTTATTAACTAGTTTTAAGATATTATTAAATCACTACATTTTATTCCAGAATTGAATGCATTTTTCAGTGGCTGTTATACATATAATTTTATAAAAATTCCCCTTAAAGAGAAAATATGCTATGAAGCCCTAACCGGTTTGGCTCAGTGGATAGAGCGTCAGCCTGCGGACTGAAAGGTTCCAGGTTCGATTCCGGCCAAGGGCATGTACCTTGGTTGCGGGCACATCCCCAGTAGGTGTGCAAGAGGCAGCTGATCGATGTTTCTCTCTCATCGATGTTTCTAACTCTCTATCCCCTCTCCCTTCCTCTCTGTAAAAAATCAATAAAGTATATAAAAATAAAATAAGAATCTAAAATTTTAAAAAAAAGAAAATATGCTATGAAAAATCTAATAATGTTATTTTGTACACAAATCAATCACTGCTTCAGATAGAGGGGGGCAGTCATTATCACCAGAATAAGCCCCATTCTTTCTTTGTGGTGACCTTTCAAGGCAGTTTCAAAAAAATGAGGAACATTCTTGCTCTGACTGGTTTGGCTCAGTGGATAGAGCGTCAGCCTGAGGACTTAAGGGTCCCAGGCTTGATTCCGGCCAAGGGCATGTACCTTGGTTGCGGGCACATCCCCAGTAGGGGGTGTGCAGGAGGCAGCTGATCGATGTTTCTCTCTCATCGATGTTTGTAACTATCTCTCTCCCTTTTTCTCTGTAAAAAGTCAATGAAATATATTAAAAAAAAAAAAGAGGAACATTCTGGCATAGACACACTGAAGTGCCATAGAAATGCTCAATAATTCTCAATTAAATAAGCCTATGATTGGTGAAATGCTTTAGTCATGAAGTACCCATATTCATAATACTGTATTTAAAAAAAAGAAAAGCAGATCATTTCCTTAAATTGAGAGCGGTCACCTTGAGAGAAAGGCCATGTAAGCTGGTGTGTTAAATAGTTACTATTTCGAGAGGATGATTTTAACTACTGACTCAGTATTTAAATGGCTAGTACCATATTGTAATATCAGAAAATAAACCTGAAACAGTTGATTAGATGCTATGATACCTAAACTACTTAAAATCAAGAAGACAAATCTCATTCCTCATCATTGACTAGTAAAACTTCTAAAATGTGAAACAAATTTTATGAAAAGGCTGCCTCCTGAAGAAGGAAACCAACGTTAATGAAAACATCTGAGGTCCTGGATTTTAGGGAAGAAGTCAGTTATAAGAGAATGAATGTCCTTTTGTTGTGATTAACTAGTTAAAGTGATTACCTTTACACAGGGTCAGGAAAATAATGTTTTTCTTTATTCGGAGACTATATCTAAAAACTTAGTATAAAACAAACAACAGAAAGGTAAACTACCATATATCATTCTAATGCTTCCTATTTTTCCAGATCCATGTTATCTAAACATCTCACCTGCTATTTTTAATGTTCTTCCACTAACGTTCCCAGTGGGCCCCATTTGGAAAGAAGAGTTACTATGAGACCGTTTGAAGGCATGTTTCAATGTTTATGGGACAGCAGTTCTAGGAGTTTAGCACTGAATGCCCTCTGGCAAAGGAGACTGACAAAGGAGGAAAGGAAAGAAAGGAGATGGTGGGGACTGTTCAGGTGGTTAATGTTAAGAGGAAAAAAGAGAGTGTACAAGGAAAGAAAGATAAAAGTGAAGCAAGTGCACTGGAGGATTACAGAAACAGCTCTATCAATAAAAAGACCCTTTGACTCTTGTGCCTCAAAATGCCCAAGTCTTTGAGCATTCCATACAGCAAGTCAACTTTGTTAAAACGGTTAGCTACTTGCTTGCTATTCCATTTGTGAATAAAACTCCACTTAATAGTTACTAATAAGGACGTAGAAATCATGCACTTTGATGTTTTCCAACATGTTACATTATCCTGTCTTTCTTATTCTTTAAAATATGAGAAACTTCTTTTTCACTACTCTTGCCTAAACTAAAAACCATGAATCAATTTCTAAAAACATGAATGACATTACTTACTGAAGCTATCCAAATGAGGAGCAAAAGGTATGCCATACTTATCACTGAGTGGTTTTCCTGGATGAAATCTAACTTATGCAAATACAAAAAGTATTTGAAAAAGTTCTGGTACTTAAAAACTACGTTATTATTAATGTCTTTCCAATTTTCTTTACTGGCTTCAAAGGATAGCATTTAGGCAGATGTTGTCTGTGTGCCTGAATAACTTTGAACTGTCACCTATATTTAAAAATGCAGTCCCTAGCCGGTTTGGCTCAGTGGATAGAGTGTCAGCCTTCAGACTGAAGGGTCCCAGGTTCGATTCCAGCCAAGGGCACATACCTGGGTTGTGGGCTCGCTCCCCAGTGCGGGGTGTGCAGGAGGCAGCCAATCAATGATTCTCTCTCATCACTGTTTCTATCTCTCTCTGTGAAATCAATAAAGAAATATATTTTAAAAAATATTTAAAAAAAAAATCAGTACAAATTCAATTTGAATAAAGATGTATTGAGGAGGCTGGCGTTGGTCCCTAGGCTGACTCTGAAGCAGAGATGTCAATTTCTTTGATAAGAGGACAGCAATGCTGCTTCCCAGTAAAATTATGGTTCACGGTGAGAATATACTGACTGCCACATTACAGTCATTGTCTACACAAGACAGTGTAAGCATGAGAAAGCGCTAACAAATACTCCATACCATGGAAAACACACAAAAAGAATGGCATTCTTTCATAATAAGTAGAATTGCTGGGCAAAGAATATAAGGAACGCAAGAAGTTTATGAGACCCATGGATATGGTGACTGCTAAAACAGGCACCACAAGAGGTAAGATAATTTAAAGTAACAATTAAAAAAAAAATCCATTACCAGGTGTTTGGCAAACAAAGATATCTGAAAGAAAAACAAACCTAAGAGTTTTCACTGGATTCTGTGAAGCTTTTGGGGGAAGGAGGCAGTGCATTTGTAAGGAAATTAGGCTTCTATGTAAGATATCCTTAATATATAAAGAAATATCAATAGAGAACTCCAACTTATAACATTTCCCCACTAAAGATGCAAAGTTAAACCATGTTACTCATGTTAAGCATGCCACTCCTAAGCAACAGCTATAGTTACCTGCACCCATAATTTATAAAAAGAAATTTGATTTAGTATATTGCTTTAAGGGAATAAAGGACATTCACACTTTCCAAATTGTAAGAAAAAGAAATAGTTACAGAAAAAATATTAAGAATAAAAACAAACATGAATTTTTAGTGACTTCCTGAATGCGATCTGTCTGGTCTGCCTAACTTGACACAGGCTAACCCTACTGTCAACCTCCCACCTGCACACACGTGCACAGGAGTGCTGTTGTTCTTGGGAAACCCTAACAGATGGGCAGTAGCTAATGACAAAAGGTGCATGGGAAAAGTTTAATTGAAGTTTAATAATTAGAATAACCAAGTAAACAAAACAAACTTGGAATAGGAAATAAAGCATCTGGAAAAGGCTTTGCACATTTTTAGCAATGTCTGCATTTTAAACCCTTGCAAATTGAAAACCCAATGCTAAGTGTGAATTTTAGATGGGGGAAAAAATTACATCCAGTTTTTAAACACGTAAGTGTTCTTTGGCTTACCTTAAAAAAACTGTATTCAATTTAACAAATATATAAGCACACTTATGTTCATTTTCCTTTGTGCCTACCCACCTACACCCTCTCACACATTAATCTGTTTCAGTGGACAGGAAACGCACCATATCCCCCTGCCTGGATGGGTGTTTTTGGAGAAGCACAAGCATATAGACTAAAATCCTCTGTTTGGAAGCCAGCCCGATTCAAGGAGGGTTCTGATGCACTGCGGTGAATTTTTGGCAATGAGCGGGCCAACAGCTCAATAGAGGCGAGAATCTAAAAAAAAAAAAAACAAACAAGAAAAAGAAAGAAAGAAAGAAGAATGAAAATCTAGGTGGTATTAATCTTCAAGACCCTCATCATTCTTTACAGGAAAGCATCTAAAATCATACATAGACATTCAACATATTTTAAGGTATAAAGAAACAAGTTATGACTTTTCAAGGCATACAGTGTGGTAATGTATGTACATAAATATGAGACATATATAAAGGGCTTAGTACAATGCCTGGTATATAATAAGTACTCAATAAAACTTTAGAAGCTATTATTATTACTACTGTTATTTTCTGAGCTACCAAAAATCTTAAAAAATATATTTTTATTGATTTCAGAGGAGAAGAGAGATAGAAACATCAAAGATGAGAGAGAATCATTGATCAGCTGCCTCCTCCACGCCCCCTACTGGGGATTGAGCCTGCAACCCAGGCATGTGCCCTGACAGGGAATCAAACCTTTAACCTCCTGGTTCATAGGTTGACGCTCAACCACTGAGCCACACAGACTGGGCCTAACTATTTAAAATTAAACTATAATCTGTATAATAGTTAGCATAAAGGTAAAGAAATAGCAATGTTATAATTTTTTTTTTTTTTTTTAAATTACAAGCATATCTCCCTGGCTTGTTTGGCTCAGTGGATAGAGCGTCAGCCTGCAAAGGGCATGCAGGAGGCAGCCAATCAATGATTCTTTCTCATCATTGATGTATCTATCTTTCTCCCTCTCCATTCCTCTCTGAAATCAATAAAAATATGTAAAAAAATTATAAGCATATCACACAAATAAAAATTCAAATAATATGGAAAAGTATAAATTTTACCTTCCAGGGGTAACCACTGTTAAAGAGTCTATACTTTCTTCAGGACCTTTCTTATGCATAAACATGCACATATGTAAACAGAGCCCACCCTCACACCCACCAGCATTTAAAGTAGTGTCACACATTTTTCTGTGTTGCTTGTTCCCTTATTGATATGCATGCCATCTGCAGAGCCTACCTTGACCTTTATGTCTTTACTTTTCCCTTTAACACTGCATAAACATTCTTGTACATATCTGAATACTTGTGGAAGCAGGTTCTGTAGTACAGGTTTTTACGAGTGGAATTATCAAAGCAAAGGGTATATGTAATTTAAGCTTATGGATTTTACCAAGTCCTTTCAAAAGTCCTAACCAATTTACATGCACTAACACTGTTAAACTTAAAAGGGAGGCTCTTCCCCTTTCCCAACACTGTGCCCCATACTGGCTATTGCCAATTAAGGGCAAAAATAAAAAAAAAAACAGATTTCACTATTGTATTACTCTGCATTTTAACTACTATCACTGAACTCTTATAGTCCTAAGTTCATTTACCATTTGTATTTCTTTTGTGAATTGTCAGTTCATATCCTCTGCTTATTTTCTATTGATTATCTTTTATTTATTGACTAGAGGCCTGTTGCACGAAGAGATTCATGCAATAGGCCTTCCCTTCCCTTGGCTGCTGGCACTGGTTTGCCTCTGGCACCCAGGACCCAGGCCTCCGCTCTGGCCGGGCTCCAGCTGGAGCTGGCCCTGGAGCCGTCAGGCTTCACTAAGCTGCTTGGAGCCTACGTATGCAAATTAACTGCCATCTTTGTTGGGTTAATTTGCATACTCTCCTGATTGGCTGGTTAGCAAAGGTACGGTCAATTTACATGTTTATCTATTATTAGGTAAGACTGAAGGAGCCTTTTGTATACTATAAATATTTAACCTTTGTTATACATGTTATAATTATTTTTCTCTGTGTTTATCTTTCAATATTATTTTTACTATATAAAAGTTTAAAATCTTTTAATGGAGTCATACCTGCTAATCTTCTCCTTTATAACTTCTGGATTTTGTCTCTTACTTAGGAAAGCCTTTCCTACTACCTCAAGGTTATAAAAATGATTTCATTTTTTTATAGTTTTGTTTTTAACATGTAAATCTTTAGCTACTTGAAATTTATGTTTGTGTACAGTGTGAAAAGAGATCCTCTAATGAAAACTAAAAAAACAGTACTTAAAAGGGGCTTCAATAATCTGGAAAATTCATGTATGCATTTCATTTTTTGATACCATGAAAATAATGAAATGTTATTTATATTTAGGAATACAGACATCTTAATACTTTAAATACTTTTTAAGAAAGTGGGCCTAAGTATATAATTTGCATTGTGAACGTATATCAACCGTGTTAAATAGCAAACTCTAGCACCTGGGATGTGAAAAGAAGATGGTGTGGGGTCCTGCTGACACTGGCCAACAATATGGACTTTACTTTGATATTCTTAAAGCAGTGATTTTCTGGGTAAACACACACACACACACACACACACACACACACAACTCTTCCTCAAAAGAAGAGTAATTTAGAATTCCAATTTGTAAAACATGTATCTATCCAGCCAACTAGTTAGCATCCCCTCCCTGCTCTGAGACGGCCCCTGAGAGATTTGATAAAACTATAAATTCCATCTTTAATTCTTGAGATGGGGATTAAAGATTCACTCATTCCTGTAACAGTGGCCTTTGTCTAAGAAACTCAGTTAGGGCTGGGTACTCAAAAGCATAGGTTTAAAAAGGACCAACTCGGTAATTATGGTAGCTGAGTAACTGTGGGAATTAGTACTTCTATTTGAAAACTGTATTTTGATTGATTGAGACACATTTATACAGTGTTGCCAGGAACTTCCTAAGCATCATAAAACACTGCCAGTGGGATGCTGTTACAGTATCTACTACAACTAACTTTCTAAGCTTATTCAGGTAATTAGTTCCAGTTTGTGAGGCTTATTGAAAGATCATTAACTTAAGGGTTTTAGCCTTACAGCATAAACAGGTAAAAAGCAATGGAAAATTTCCAAAAATCAGAGAAAGGCAGCCAGTGCTGATAGCTGCTATTTCCTTTAGCCCCAGGTGGAAATGCCCCTCAAAAAGGCCTAGTACTAAAGGGAAGTTTGGAATCTGTTTATTTTACCATCAAAAAAATTAAAGTAGCAATTCTCAAAGTGTGGTTTGTGGAAAAACGATTTTCATCATAAACTAAGATATTATTTGCCTCTATTACTGTCATTGTTTTATTTTTTTAATTAATCCTCACCTGAGGATATTTTTCTCATTGATTTTCAGAGAGAGTGGAAGGCGGGGGGGAGAAAGGGGAGAAGAAAAGGAGAAAGAGAATGAGAGAAAGAGAGAGGGGGAGGAGGAAACATCGATGTGAGAGACTCATCGACTGGGTGCCTCCTGTACAGTTCAGAGATTGAACCTGTAATCCAGGTACATGCCCCTTGACTGGGAATTGAATCCATGACCCTTCGTTGTGCAGGCTGGTGCGCTGAACCCCGAGTGATATCAGCCAGGCACTGTCATTATTTTAGCCGTGTTAAGTGGAGTTTTCAGAGGCTACATGATATAAGATATTGTATCATAATGAATGCAAACCAGAAAATCCAGCTGTCTTTTTCTTTTTTTCAGATTTGCAAAAAATGTAAAACAATGTTACTCATTTTTTTTTTTTGGTTTTGGAAAACATAATTACTTTTCATAAAAACATTATTTAACCTGTAACAGTTTTTATTATGTTTAAATAAATTTATAAGTATTTTAAAAACTTAGTTGAAAACATAGTTTTAAATTTTAAAATTGTAATTACTATATAGAAAAGCTCTTTGGGCGGGGGTGGGGGGTGGGGGTGGGATCTTTAATAATTTTGAAGTGTGTAAAAGGGTTGTGAGACCAAAACATTTGAGAATGGTTAGACAAAAATCAAGTCTTTCTGAATAGTGTGAACTAGGTTCCCAAGTTTTTAGGTGTGCCGCTGTTCAACCTTTATGAAATCATCTCTGTGTTTACTTATTTGGAGTCTGCACATAATCACATGGGATCCAAACCCATGAAATACAAACTGTGTGCTCTAAAAAGTGCTTAAAAAATCTGCATTTGAATATTAGCATGTTCTTTTAGGTAACAAAGTTTTTTCTTACTTGGGGAAAGAGTGGTCTCTCATCTCTCTTCTTTTTTAGGCATTCTGCCATTAATCTCTTCATGGCTTTTGGACAGTTACTTCGTACCTTACTGAGATCTGGAGATAGATATCCTCGTCCCACCATAAAAATTATCTGGGAAGAAAAAATAGGCAAATCATAAAACTTGTAATTAGTTGAAAAAGGCATAAAGATTGAAAATTCAACAAGCTATGCACTTAAGACGTGTACTTTTCTGTATGCACATTACACTTCAATAAAAAATTTAATAACATAATGCTAATACTCTGATGCCTACATATAACTGGGAGCCAATACTTCATGGGCTGCAAACTGAAATCTTCATGACTCCTGGACTACTGTTAAGATCCGCTAATTGCTCCCACGCTCCAGTTGCCTTATACCATCTATTTTCCACTGGTAGATCATCATTCTAAAACACAGACCAGATTGTGCCTCTTTTCTACTTAAATAATTTATTGGGCATCATACTAAGCCCTGTATATATATGTAGCAGGAACCAACAAAGTTAACTTTTTAGTTTTTACATCAGCATTTTAAACTCTTTTGGTGAGGAAACTCTAATGGGGCATTTATAGTTATATAAATCTGAGAATCAGAGACTCCTCCAGAAAGAACTAAATTTCTGTTTAAAAAGTAAAAAGATTTGTCTTCTCTGGGTGCAGAGATTTGTAATTTTTCTAATTTCTTAATTTTCGGCTCTTGTGAAGGTGGACAGAGACAGATGTTAGGAGTCTTGTGACTTAGGGAGGAAAGAGGGGTTTTACTCTTAGAGGAACTGGTCCAATAGGGGCAGACTAGAGGCTGAGGTAGAGAGCGCTTTGTTATAGGGCAGAGCTGATAATTTTAAGAAAGTCAAGTTTGATATCCTACTTTATGTTATTTCCCGTTTGGTGATGTAATAACCCTTGTTAACTATAAGCTGATTTGGTTAAGCACCACTAAAGTGAAAGTATAAAGCTTATTCTTCTCCCACTTTACAAGTTACCTTTTACCAGTACAGAATTTCACTGTGTGCGCAGCGCTCCAGGGGGTAAAACTGCTGGGGTACCAAAGGGACACTTCCCAATACTGGTGTCTAACTGTGCTCCAATGAATGGGTAACATTCCCTTTACAAGGCAGTTGGTTTGCAATTCTTCGCTTTCAGTAAAATTAATTAAATTGTCAGCTGATTATTAAAGTGACTATTAATGACAAGTTATTATGTAATTTTTGGTATGTTCAAGAAATGAATTCAAATAACTGAGTGGTATGGTGTATGGTAAAGAATAATCTTGCCCCCGTAGGGGGCTGGCCTTTGCCTTTGGCTCCTGGGAGGTAATCCTTAGCCTCTTGTGCCTGGTAAGAGTGTCTTTGTTTACCTGGGGCCTTGGGAGATGTCAGATAGTCTATGCTATGAATGTGATTCATAGAGGGGGCTTAGACTCATGTGGTATCAACTTGCCCTCTGAAAGCTATGGTCAGCCACAGCAGTGGTCAAGCATATCTACGTGACTAAGCCCTAATAACAACTCTGAATCCCAAGTCTCGAGTGAGTTTCTCTGGTTGGCAATATTTCATGTGTGTTGTCACACATTGCTGCCAGGAGTAGTGTTGTCCACAATCCCATTGGGAGAGGACAACTGGAACCTTCAAACGTGGAATTCTCCTAATGCTGCCCTATATGCACTTTCCCTGGATGGATTTTAATTTGTTTCCTTTTCTTGCAATAAACTACTTGTGACAATTAGCAACTTTCAGTGAGTTCTGTGAGACTTAATGAATTACTGAACCTGAAGGTGGTCTTGGGGACCACTGAACTCTGCATACATTATAATGAAACTCCTGATTTTCTTAGCTTCTTACTTATTTGAACAATATTTCTCAGTGCTTATTTCTTTAAAAATAAAACAAGGAAAAGGACTGATGATAAGTCCAGCTCATTCTAGCAAAAGTCATATTTATCCACAGATACATAAATAAATTTTAAAAAGCCTCATGTTGTTCATTAAGATACACATTTCCAATAAAATTTTACCTTCAATGTTTCTTAAATAATAAAAACGTATTTTCATCACTTATACATTAATAGTTATTAATAATGGAATAAGTCACAATTAAAAAATATCATTCAGAGCTGATAAAAATCAGGAATATTTTTTAAATTCTAAATTTAAACAGTAATACAAGTAGTTCAAAGAGGAAAAAATAAAGCCATGTAAAACTTCCAAAAATTAATGCAGAGTTTTTGTATTTTTTTAAACAAGTGATGGTAGGCATCAAATCAGCATGGCTTTTAGATTTTATTGGGCACTTTTAAAAGAAGGCTGTAATGGCTTTCTTTTGAAATGTTAATATAATACACTGGCAATTACATTCTTTGCAATTATTTAAACTTAAGAGAGAGTCTTTCTTGTATATAATTCATGGATAGAAGATTCAAGTGGCACATACACTACTAAATCAGTGGCTTGGTTTGAAATCCTGGGACTGGTTATTTTCATTCTTAATCCACACTCAGCACTCCTGGCATCTCCACCTCTTCATTCACTCCTCTGTATACATCTGTTTATTGTCAGTATCACCCACCTGCACTGCCTCAACAGAACTGTAAACTCCACTGAGTGCTCAGCCTGTGTTTTATTCATCTCTGTATCCCTCTATATCCCACAGTGCTTTGCATATAGTATCAAAAAAATTTTTATTGAAATAATTTGTGTGTTGATAAGACAATGGTAATTATCATTTCCTGTCTCTTGAGATCTTGCGCTTAGTACCTAGCCACCATGCTATGAGAATGTCCAAGTTTCCCATGAAAAAATCCTTATATAAAGACCCAGGTGGAGAATAACTGAGAACTCTGGCTGGGCTTCCACCTGACAGCTAGTGCCCCCTTGTCAGGTTTGTGAATGAGCCACTTTGGAAGCAGATTCTTTCTCATTGAATCTACCCCAGATAATACCATGTGAAACAGATAAACCTTCCTCACTGAGAGCAGCCCAAATTGCAGATGCATTAAGTTGCTTAAGCCACTATGTTTTGGGTGCTTTGTTATACAGCAATAATAACTGGAATACACTGAAATAACAGATAAATGTAATGTTATTTTTTTAAATATATTTTATTGATTTTTTACAGAGAGGAAGGGAGACAGATATAGAGTTAGAAACATTGATGAGAGAGAAACATTGATCAGCTACCTCCTGCACACCCCCTACTGGGGATGTGCCCGCAACCAAGGTACATGCCCTTGACTAGAATTGAACCTAGGACCCTTCAGTCCGCAGGCCGACGCTCTATCCACTGAGCCAAACCGGTCAGGGCTAAATGTAATGTTATTTTCTTCTAAGATGACACGGCACTTCTGCTCCAAGAAGAGGAAGCCCTGAAGGTAGACAGTTAATGTATCTAGCTAATGAGCACATTCTACTAGTAAATCTCAACTTAGTAGAGAAGCTGTACTGAAAGAGGGAAGGATACAGTAATAAGAGAACAAACTAGAATCATACAGAGAAAAAAAATGACAAAGTCATTTCTCAGATTTCAGCACTAGGGTAACTAAAGTAAAAGATATGTTACTTTGCAAAGTAACACAGGGCTGGTCATCCCTTAAGGAGCTAAGAGACCTGTTTTAGGAAAGATCCTGATTTTTATTACTGGAAGGAATTCTTTAGTCAAATTTCTTATTTTTATAATTGGAAAACAAACAAACAAACAGATCCACACACAAAACATACACCTAGAGAGGTAATGTGACCAGGTTATGCAGGTTGTGAATCCAGGGTCTGCTAGAGTCCTGCCTTTAGTTTACTGCCATTAAAACTGCCACCTCTGACTATAGGGGTGAGAGCATGGAGGAATGGTTTCTGTTATATAGTAAAGAAGCAACTTTCTCATCTTCCATGAAAAAGAACATTATTCCTAGATTATCAAGCAGAAGTCAATCTGAGAGCCATGGAGATCAAAGAAAATCAATCAAAGGGATGGTGTGAGCAATGACTGTGGTTACACTTCATTGAGGATGACTAGAGAGTTAGCAACTCAGAGGGAGTTTCACAGAAAAGTGCCATTGGAAGAAAGCAGACTAGATGATAATGAAGAATGGTAATGGGAAGACTATATCACTCCTTTATTTTCTTTTTTTTTTTTTTAATATATTTTATTGATTTTTTACAGAGAGGAAGGGAGAGAGATAGTTAGAAACATTGATGGGATAGAAACATCTATCAGCCGCCTCCTGCACATCTCGCACTGGGGATGTGCCTGCAACCCAGGTACATGCCCTTGACTGGAATCGAACCTGGGACCCCTCAGTCTGCAGGCTGACGCTCTATCCACTGAGCCAAACCAGTTTCGGCTCCTTCTTTTTCTCTTAACAGTTTTTGCATTTTTATTTTATTTTATTGGTTTTATAGAGAGAGGGAGAGGGAAAGAGGGAGAGAGAAACATCGTTTGGTCGCTTCCCTTATGCACCCCAACCAGGGATTGAACCACAACCTGGGTATTTGCCCTGGATTGAACCCGAAACTCTTCAGTAGATGGGACAATGCTTCAATCAACTGAGCCACACCAGCCAGGGTAGTATATGGTTCTTTTACCTCCATTTTCTTTATCAAATACTTAACTTGGTTTTAGACTGGCAAATTCCACAAGCCTCTAACTCAGCGGTTCTCAACCTGTGGGTCGCGACCCCTTTGGCAGTCGAACGACCCTTTCACAGGGGTCGCCTAAGACCATCCTACATATCAGATATTTACATTATGATTCATAACAGTAGCAAAATTACAGTTATGAAGTAGCAACGAAAATAATTTTATGGTTGGGTCACAACATGAGGAACTGTATTTAAAGGGCCAGAAGGTTGAGAACCACTGCTCTAACTGTACTACCAGAAAAAGCTAACTAGTAAAGGCCTTACCCTTCTGTTGGTCACTCACTTATTTCTCTCAGGAAAGGAAGCCCTTGCCACATCACTTATTCTACTTCCATGGAGGACAAAGTGCCTAAAATGCCAAGAACCCTGGGATGCTTTCATCCATATTTTGGAGATAATAATACTTGTTTCCATAATATAATTTTATTGTTTTATTAAAATAAGTACATTCACTGGCAAATGGATGTCATCTAAGTTCACAAATTTTTATTATTTGTAGTTATCTATGGTAAATCAACAAAAACTAAACTATAATTCCCACGTGATTCCTTTAGAGAAATACTTTGCATAGGAAAAGTGAACATGGCACAGGGATTATGCTATGTGGCTGAGGAAATGAGACTGTAAAAGGCAGAGCTCACAAAGCTTGCTAATTAGAGACTACAATCTTGCTACTCAGATTGCCATCATCATGTCTCAGGGATCTAGAATCTGTCACGAGTACAGTAAGTAATATGTTTCAGTTATATCCTTCAGCTAGTATTTTGGTCCATCCTGAATTTAAGTTTCATGCAGGCTTAAAATATCAGATCATCAGAAGCTAGGCCATAGATTTTTCTTAATACTCAAAGCTAAGTTTCAACATTCTAAAGATATGAAATAGTTAAAAAGACCAAACAGAAACTAAAAAATTAGTTTTGTGTTGACTTGGGTAGAAATATAGTCATTAAAAAAAATTTCAAAATGTAGAATTAAGACTGCTATTGGGTAAGGGCCACACGGTAATTCAATGAGCACATACCAAGTACATGATAACTTAGATTACTTGGGCAATTACATTCTTTGCAATTATCTTCACATTGATTCACCCCATCCTTTCACTTTGATAGTGGAAGTTCTTAGTGAGAGAGCTACTCAGAGCTATCACCAAAAAAATTGGTAGTTAAGCTCTTGACTAAAACACACACTATTTAATGAAGTAATACATCTATAATAAAAGCGTAATATGCCAATTAGACTTGACGGCCTTCCAGATGACCTTCCGGATGAAGCCGGGGCTGGGAGGGAAGCCTGGGTCCCAGGTGCCTGCCGGCAGCCAGGGGAAGGAAGGCCTACTCTTACACGCATTTTGTGCATCAGGCCTCTAGTTTGTGTATAAAACTATCATTTCACTAGGTTGGGAGGTTATGATGAAACGCATAAAATATCTGCACTTTTTTAAAACTCTTTAGATTGGTGATTCTCAACTTTGGTCTGTATCAGAATTCCCTGGGAAACTTATTACAAATGCAGGTGCTTGGACCCCATCCCATTGAATCAGAATCTGCTCCAGCATCTCCACTTTTTAAAACAAATTACTCAGGTGATTCTGATACAAACCACAGTATAAAGTATAAATATTATTCTCTTTTGTTGTTGTTAATCCCTACCCAAGAATATTTTTCCATTGATTTTTAGGAAGAGTGGAAGAGAGAAGGGAAAACAGAGAGAAACATCGATGTGAGAGAAACACATTGACTGGTTGCCTCCTGCATGAGCCCTGACCAGGGCGCAGGCCAGGGAGGAGCCTGCAACCAAGTTACGTGCCCCCTTAACTGGAACTGAGCCAAACTGGCTAGGGCATGTATGAATATCATTTAATCACAGTTTATATGTCAACTATTGTTTGTAATATATTAACAGTGTGCTGCAATCTCTCTCTCTCTCTCTCTCTCTCTCTCTCTCTCTCTCTCTCTCTCTCTCTCACACACACACACACACACACACACACACACACACACACATAAATACACACAAACTTACTTTTAAAATGTTGAGGTATACAAGGTAATTTCAGTAAAGACAATTCCTTTTCTTGGCCAGTGTTAAAAGCCTAGGTAAATTTAATATTACTGGGATAGAAAAGGCAAAGAGTTGCATATGGCTACATTAGTACATTTGGGAAGGTAAGGGACAGAGAACAGGTGCTTAGGAAGAGAGGAAGTAAAAATATTCCCTCCTACTAGAATTCTCATTATAGAAAAATGAAAGCATGATGTCACAGTTCTTCCATTTACCTAGTTTTAAAAATTAAACAAAATGGAGAAACCTTAATAATTTTAAGAATTTGATATAAAGAAGTTCATGGCTGAGTACCTGCTCAGGTAGCACACTCTGTGATAGAGTGAAATAAAGGTATACAGCCCAGATGTCGTAGTAGCAGAGCTCATGTTCCTAACTGTGCCACGGTCAAGAAACATGAGGTACTGTCATTGTTGTGTCTCTAGTTTCAGAAGATCAGGAATTTTACTCCATTACACTTAATTAAGACTGAAGCCCAGCTGGTGTGGATCAGTGGTTGAGCATTGATCCATGAACCAGGAGGTCACGGTTTGATTCCAGGTCAGGACACATGCCCCAGTTGCAGGTTCGATCCCCAGTAGGGGGTGTGCAGGAGGCAGCCAATTGATAATTCTCTCTCATCATTAATTTTTCTCTCTCTTTCTCTCTCCCTCTCTCTCTCTCTCTGAAATCAGTAAAAACATATTTTTACAAAGTCTCTTTCTGTAATGTATTGACTTAAAAAAAAAGAATAGTTCAAGGAAAGGCCTTACATGCTGCTATTACTATCAAAAGTATTCAAAAGGTATCTAAACTGGTGACAAGGACCCAGAGGTCTAGCCCTCATATGTATCCAGGACTTAACACTTCTTTTCTACAATGAATTGTGCCGGGGTCCAACCCCAGCAGGTCCAGGGATCCCCAAAGGTGTGGACGGAGTCGGCGAAGAAGGAATGACACAGAGACAGCGTTCAGTTGATCAGCAGCCTAGCCAGGATCTCTAGCCAAGTTCTGGTCAGGATCTCCAGCGAAGTTCTGGTTAGGATCTCCAGCCAGATTCTGTGTCCATGTTCTCTCGCTAGGTTCTCCAGCCAGGTTCTCCAGGTTCTCCAGCCAGGTTCTGTAGCCATGCTCCCTTGCTAGGTTCTCCAGCCAGGTTCTGCCCAGGTTCTCCAGCCAGGTTCAGTCACCAGGTTCTAGTCAGGTTCTCTTGCCATGTTCTATCCAGGTTCTGTAGCCAGGCTCTGTCTCTAGGTTCTTCAGACTGGTTCTGTCCAGGATCTCCAGCGAACTTCTGGTTAGGATCTCCAGCCAGGTTCTGTGTCCATGTTCTCTTGCTAGGTTCTCCAGCCAGGTTCCCCAGGTTCCCCAGCCAGGTTCAGTCACCAGATTCTGTAGCCAGCTTCTTCAGCCAGGTTCTGGCTAGGTTCTCCAACCAAGTTCTGTAGCCAGGTCCTGTCCAGTATCGTTTGCCATGTTCTCTCGCTAGGTTCTGTCTCTAGGTTCTGTCTCCAGTTTCTGTCCAGGATCTTTTGCCATGTTCTCTTGCTAGGTGCTGTGGCCAGTTTCTGTCCAGGATCTTTTGCCATGTTCTCTCCAGCGAAGTTCTTCTGTCTCTACGTTCTGTGTAGGTTCTGTGTCTAGGTTCTGTGTCTAGGTTCTGTGTCCTGTTGTCTTGTTACATCTGTATTTATACCAGTTGATTCCAATCCTATCAATCTCTATTCCAAAGGTTAGGGCGTTTCTTATCTCCATTCCAGGGAGTAAAGATTATGTAGCTTAAGCATGATTGTTCGAAGTTAAAGTGATTAATTACCCGCCTGGCACTTAGTTAAGGGGTTTTATTCCCTCCCTAACTTCAGGGGAAAATCCCTACCTGGGGAAACAACCTTTCTCAGAGAGGTGACCTTGGTTAAAACACATAGTGCCAAGAAGGTGAGCAAACATATTAAGAACAGTATGCCATATATGCCAGGTCCCTTGAAACAGCAAGGATGGACCGGCTCCCGGCAGAATTGGAACTTGATGTAAATAGTAAAATAAACCCTAAGAGATGGTAAGTATTTACCTGGTCCCTGTTGTTGATGTTTGAATAAGGTAACTGTCCAGTCATCAATTCATACAGAACAATCCCAAATGCATATACATCTGACTGAAAGCTATAAGGGTTTTTGTCTTGCATTCTGATTACTTCTGGTGCCTGTTAGAACATAAAAAGAAAAATATTCTTGTTTATTCTTTACTTCAACTGAATAAAGACTGAAAACCAAACTATTATGATTCCCAGAAAAAATGCTTTTAATCATTAAATAACCCACCGAATATGTAATTAATTCTCTTGTTAATGGTCAAAGAAATATAACTGATTAAGAAAGTAAAAATATACCCTGTAAATTCTAAAAGAGGCAGTGTTAGCTGAGATTCTATCTGTATTACTAATATTTTTATAATTTTAGCAGCTGCCCTCTTTGTACAAAAAATATCATTGCTATTTGAATTCTTCCCTTGACTTACCTACCAAGAATCAGTTCCTATTTCCCAATCATGATTCAGCAAATAAATACTATACCTGTGGTTGTAAGATGTTTGGGAGTAGCACAACCACTTTGGCAATTGCTAGAATTTAAGTTTTCCCATTGGTACAAATGATTCTCCTCATCTCAGGACACCTTAGACAATAATGGCAAAATTTCATGACTGATAAACTCAAATCCCTTTCCCGCCTCCAAAAATGGTATAAACATGCCAAAGATGTCTTATTAACAAAAGCAATAGGCAGCGGGTAGATTTAATAGAAGGTGGTATGAAGAATCTTTTCGCTGCTTGCTTCTTGGGCAAAGATATAGACCAAATCATATTTGCTACATACATTTTTGTACATATCAGTCACTGTATTCTATAGGTAGATTTCTTATTGGCTACTTACTTGAAATACAACAAATGGTTGGTTAAATATTAGCTTTAAACAGTTCTTTCACCTTGAATCTTCTGTATTGTTTCATTTGGAAGGAATCAAATAAACTGAAGGGTATTAATAAAAACTCTGTGTAAAACCAAGACTAACTGTAAAAAGGCTGAAAGACCTGGGGCAAGAGTCCTGGTCACTGGTCAGAGTAAGGCAAGTGAGACTATCTCACAAGGCAGGGAATAATGGCACTGCGCCTCACCTGGAAATCAGAATCACCTGGGCAGCCTTGAACCTCTCAAGGTCCAGACTGCATTCCTGCCCAATAACACACCATTAGAATCTGGGGATACACTCGTTAGTTTTTAAAGCTCCCCAGATGTTTTTAATGCTCAACCAAAGTTGAGAACCACTGACAGAAGATGTGTGGGAGGGAGATCCTGATAAGAGTGAAAGGATGGGGGTGAAGGGGAGGTTGTACCTACTTGTTTTGTCTTACACTTTACTGATATTACTTTTACAGTACAAAATAAATCACATACAACTGTGATGTAATGAACAAGCCAGAAAACTAAGAGGCTGGTTTATGATACAAAAATAATTTTCAAAGCCAGAACACAATTTCTGTGAGGGACAGAGTAATAAATCAATTGAAAAGTTGCCTTTAAAATTTAGTTTTACCTCACTGTTGTTGGTAGATGACTTGATAAAAAGTTGAATGTCATCTATTTACAAGTTGTGCATTATTAATCCTCAGTTCATTTGTGTTTTAATTTCCAAAACACTTTTTTACAAAGTTTTCTTTCTCTTCTAAGCTATAAATAAAACAAGGCTGAGAAGACTATTATAAATAATTCAGAGAATTATATAACCTTAGTTCTGATCAAACTCTTCTTTCCTAGCCTATGGATGTTCTAAATTTGTTTCTGAAGGCAATATCAACCCAAAAAGATTCATTCAACAATTAAATGTACTATTGGCTAATTTCTCATCTTAAAACTTAGTTTGGGGCCGAAACCAGTTTGGCTCAGTGGATAGAGCGTCGGCCTGTGGACTGAAGGGTCCCGGGTTCGATTCCGGTCAAGGGCATGTACCTGGGTTTCGGGCACGTCCCCAGTGGGGGATGTGCAGGAGGCAGCTGATCGATGTTTCTCTCATCGATGTTTCTAGCTCTCTATCTCTCTTCCTTCCTCTCTGTAAAAAAATCAATAAAATATATTTTAAAAAAAACGAAAAAAACAAAACAAAAACTTAGTTTGGGGAAATAAAAGATGAACCCATCTTTCCAGGTATTAACAAAAAAGAAACTATAACAAAATATAAAACTTCATGTATAATAATCCACTAAGGTCTTTGAATAAAGACAAACCCAAACACTTGACTGAGCCTCTCTCTCCCACACTAGTTTAAATAAATAGACCTCTAAAATGTGTATTAATTATTTCTTTTTAATTTTAATGATTTTGCAATTTCAGTACTTAAAAATCTGTTGCACCCCCCTTAGGATACACTGCCGTCTTTTTTAAAAGGTGTGTACCTTAAAGGTGCCTGAGATTTGCATTATAATTACTAATTAGCCTCTTGTTTATAATTATGTATTAAAACAATTAAACAGATATTAAAGAAAAATTCTTCTTAGGTCTAAATACTGAATTTTAGAAATAGAAATGGCTTTAGAAATCCACCAGTCCAACCCAACATTAAAGATGGAGACTTGGAGGCAGTTAAGAAAGGTGCTGGTAAGAGTCACACACAACATTACAGTACACACTTCCTAACTCTAAGTCCAATCCCCCTCCCACCTTGCAGCTTGCCCTAATTTAAGTTATTACAAGAAATCATAGCTCAATTTAACCCCAGGCTTATCTGGACTAATTCAGAATCCTACCTTGTAATTCCTTTCTTGGAGACTGATACAGAGAGTTCAAAGAATTTAGGCAAATGTGGCTTTGAAAGCCCCTTCTTTTCTGTTTCCAGTAGGGTGTCCCAAAGTGCACATTCTGTTATTAAAAACTGCACTAATAGTTTTGGGACACCCTGCATTCAGCTTAGAGCAGCAGTTCTCAAACTTTTTGGTCTCAGTACTCATTCAGTCTTGAAAATTACTGAGGCCCTAGCCAGTTTGGCTCAGTGGATACAGCGTCGGCCAGCAGACTGAAGGGTCCTGGGTCCAATTCCGGTCAAGGGCATATACCTGGGTTGTGGGCTTGATCCCCAGTGTGAGGCATGCAGAAGGCAGCCGATCAATTACACTCTCTCATCATTGATGTTTTTATCTCTCTCTCCTTCTCCCTTCCTCTCTGAAATCAATAAAAAATATGTTTAAAAAAAGAAAACTACGAAGAACCCCGAAGGAGCTTATGTATTATTTCTGTGGATAAATAATCATATTAAAACTAAACTGAGAAGCTGTTAAAATATTTACTAATTCATTTGAATAATAAAACAGCAACCAGTAGATGCTAACACAAATCACACATTTTTAATGAAAAGTAACTATATTTTCAAAAACAAAAAAACTTTAGTGAGAAGAATAGTCCTACAATTCTTTTTGACTATCTGGTTTAGCAGCAGCCAGCTCGTGTCATATACTTTGCTTCTGCATTCAATTTGGTGTGATGTTGTTCTGGTTGAGGAATACGAAGAACAATCTGGGCTCACACAAGGATGACCTTGGGAATTTCTAAAAGGGTCTTGGGGGGACCTTTTGAGAATTACTACTTAGAGAATGATTCCTAGACTGTCCCCATAGCCTGCTGAAGGTAACTACACAGAAGTTTTGGTTCCTTTCTTTCATATGTTCTCTTTCTTCTTTTGTACAAAGTAGAAATAGAAATAAAGAGAAAGAGCCCAGCGGTATGGCTCAGCAGTTGAGTGTCAACCCAGGAATCAAGAGGTCACTGGTTTGGTTCCTGGTCAGGGCACATGCCTGGGTTGGGGCTCAAACCCTAGTAGGGAGCATGCAGGAGGCAGCCAATTGATAATGTTCCTCTGTCATCAATGTTTCTATCTCTCCCTTCCTCTCTCTAAAAATCAATAAAAATATGTAAGAAAAAAAGAGAGAAAGACCTATGTAGGGCAGCACAAAGCTTACAGTGTTAAGAAATCTCTCATTTTTTTTTTGTCTCTCCTCTCCCAGGTGCTCCATAATTATATGGTTCTTTCTAGTCTAAATAAAGTAACTCCAATTTAGGCTTAAATAAGACTGTGAAATAGCCTCTCCTCCTCTTTTTACAAAAAATATTTTAAAATCAATTTTTTGAGAGAGGAAGGGAAAGGGGGAGAGAGAAACACTGATGTGAGAGCCCTCATGCACGCCCCCTACTGGGAATTGAGCTGCAACCCAGGCATGTGCCCTGACTGGGAATCATACTGCTAACCTTTCAGTGCACAGGACGACGCCCAACCTGATGCCCAACCGAGCCACATGGTCCAGGGCAAACAGCCTCTCTTTAAAGGAGCAGTTCTCTTCACAAACCTTAATAATAGTTGCAGATCACACATGCTTAAATTGAATACTTTTTTTTAAACTGGGAACAAGGAACATTTGGAATACAAAATATTTTAGAGACAATTTTAAATAAAATATAAACAGTGTTTAAAAAACATATTTTTGTTTGAAAGATACTGAAACTAGTTTCATAGTATTCTTTTTAAAGATAAAAAAGTTAAGATTTATTTACATAAAAAGGTAAGATGAATGTTGACTTTTGTGAACACCGGGAACTATTAAAATACTATAGTTGAAACCTTCAATGACTTTCTAGTACTCAGTAGCATCTCAGGGTCCCAAAAATTAATGTAAAAAGGCCTCAATTCTTACCATCCACAGAATGGATCCAGACAACTGTTCAAACTGATGGGACCCACTCCATCGAGATTTCACTGTGGCTAGCCCAAAGTCACCTATTTTTACAGTGAGGTCTTCATGAAGAAAAATATCTGTGGTGTAGTAAGTAAAGGAAAACAATAGATCTCATTTTCCAATCAGAGCAAGCATTATGAAATTTAGGTAAGAGATCTAATTTCTATAATTCTGTAATATGAAATTCTTTGAAAAAAGATGTAGTACTTTATATATTAATTAGGTCTATTTGGCCTATAGGACCTGCTTTTAAGGTTTTGAGGGCTTGAAATGAGGTAGAGTGAGGTGAAATGCTTTCCTAAGTGTATGGGAGACCCTGAAACTTCCCACAAGATTTTAGTAACATAGGCCCAAATATTCTTTTGGCACTGCTGGGGAGTGGTAAAGGCTCTTCACTGGAATGAAGGTGGTTGGCAGACAGGATCTTAATCTAAGTTTATGGAAGAGGAAAAAATATGTTTTTCTTACCTCATGCTATCCGTAACTTAAAGCCTTCAGTTACATCTTACCTACTGCTGAGCAAGGCCAGAGTGTTAAAAGGAACTAGTAGATAACTACAAACTATCTGTTTTCCAGTGCTGAAAGAATGTAAGCAAGCAATCAAAAAGCCCTACTATCATAAAGATTTCAGAGATTTTTGTTGTAACGCTCAATTGTTCACAAACCAAAAGCAGGTTGTAGTACCTTGTTCTACTACACTCTCATGCAAACCCATTTATTAATTCTCTTTACAATACATTGAACTTAGCATGAAACTGTTTTTACATAATGTGAAGATAAAATGCAGAAGAAAAAGTCAGGATGTTTTCAAACTTCGCAGACAAATTTCAGGAAGGATACTATTACTCTTGAGGTCTCTGTGGATGATTGACTTGGCGTGTAAGTAACTGAAAAACAAAACATCATTTTAACCTGAGTAGGGCTAAATACTCTGGCCTCAAATTTTATAGAACATATTTAGGGGTATAAATAAAGATGTGTTTAGAATCATGATACAACTGCAAACTGTACAATGTGATAATCCCTTTACATAAGAAATATTAAAATAGACTGTAATTGAATTTAGGATTAGAGGAACATATCACTAATATGGTACAGCCAAAATTTTGTTTTCCACTAAAAGACTTTGCTTTGTCTTTTACTATTTTCCAATACAAACCTTTCACTCCAGTCAAGCCTAGTTATCCATGTCCTTTAAATATACCTTAAATATCCCCTCCTACACCCATCCCTCAAATTAGTTTCGTTCTGTTCTCCACCTATTCATACCACTCCTTTAAGGTTGCATATACAATCTAACTCCTGGGTGAAGCTTTCCTATGAGTAACTCAACTGTAAGGGTTCTTTCACTGTTCAGTTATATAGAAATTATTGGAACAGCTTTATTCAATAGTTTTTTTCCACCTATGTTCATTTTCTATTTAGAATGTAAAACTCTACTAGAATATGAAAGTTTGATTGATAAAATCATTCTTAAAGGTAGTATTAATATATTCTTAAAATGCCTTCTTAAAACTAGTGTGTAGCAAACTTCCTCTATAGTAGCTTTAGTTAAGTTCATTGAGGGAAAAGGGCTGGGCCTAGTTTATTTCTGTTTATCCCCAGTGCCGAGTACAGTGCCTGGCATAAAGCATTTAAAACACATCAGCTGAATCAACTACATTGAGATGCATATAATGTCCTAGTCAAGGTTATTTTTCTTCATTTAAAGCTGGAGAAAACAAATATATGAGACTGCTGAAATTTGACAATGACTATTAGGAAATAAGTTTTGCTTTAAAATGAGATTATAATGTCACTGTTAAAAATAGGTTTGTAAATCATTAAGCTTATAATTTATACTTTATTTTCATCTAAGCTTCCACATCTTCTCATAGAGTAAGATTTTGATACTTTTCAGACAAAGTTTTCATTTCAAACTACTGTTTATACAAAGTAACCCCTCCTCCTCCAATTACTCTGACTTCACATTATTTCCTTCAGAGCTTTTACCACAATGTAAAATTATCTTTTCATCATGACTTTTTAGGCCCAAAGTCATTTCACAACACAAAAGTTTACTTAGAACCCAAAGTTCTGCAGTGACACAGAAAGAAAAAAACATATGGCATCATAGCCAGTTTGGCTCAGCGAATAGAGTGTCCACCTGTGGACTGAAGGGTTGAGGGTTTGATTCTGGTCAAGGGCATGTACCTTGGCTGAGTTGGGGCGAGTGCAGGTGGCAACCAATCAATGTGCCTCTCACGTCAATGTTTCTCTCTCTCTATCTCTCCCGCTCCATTCCACTTTCTCTAAAAAATTAATGGAGAAAGCCCTAGCCCATTTGGCTCAGAGGATAGAGCGTTGGCCTGTGGACCAAAGGATCCTGGGTTTGATTCCAGTAAAGGGCACGCACCTTGGTTGCAGGCTCCTCCCCAGCCTGGGCTCTGGTTAGGGATACAGCAGGAGTCAACCAATTGATTTGTTTCTCTCACTTTGATGTTTCTCTCTGTCTTTCCCTCTCTCCTCCACTCTCTCTAAAAAAAAAAAAAAAAAAATCAATGGAAAAAATATCCTTGGGTGAGGATTAACAAAAAGCAAATTTAAAAATATGGAGAAAAATAGGTCTCAACCAAATGCATTTTCTAGATGGGAGACCTTGTCTCCATTAGAAGAAGGGGGATAAATGAGACAGTGTGCGTGGTGGAGCTCTGTGCTTCAGAGGGCTGGTGTTTAGCCACAGAAAGGTGTTAGTGTCTGAAGAAGTTCTGTCTCCTTTGAAATTAAAAACAAATGTGTGGGACAAACCAAGATGGCGGCATAGGTAAACACCTGAAATCGCTGCCTCTCACAACCACTTCAAAAATACCACTAAAAGACAAAATGGACATCATCCAGAACCACAGGAAGGCTGGCTGAGTGGAAATTCTACAACTAGAAGGAAAGAGAAAAGCACACTGAGACTCAGAGGAGGTGCGGAAGTAAAGTGCAGAGGTACGGAGGTGCACGAGGAAAGGGCTGGCAACTGAGGAAGCGGTTGTCTTTTTCAATCGGGAGGGAGACACAAGCTCCTGACAGCCCTGACTCTAGTTCTGGGCGAGTCCCTGGGGACCTAGACTCAGACAGGGAGAAACTGGACTGTCTGGCAGCAGGTGGAACTCAAGGGCGGCTTTCTCTCAGAGGTGCTTGCAGTAATTACCGGGACAGAGACCCAGGGCCTTTTAGGGCAGGGCTGAGGAGCAGCCATAGCTATTTGCTTCGCCCTGTTGATTCCCTGAGACCCCGACCCACCCAAGTTGTGCACAGAGGCTTTTGCATATGAATGACCTGGCCCTTCACAACCTAAAATTACCTAACAAACTGTAGCTGGGTCAGAGAGACCCACAACATCCAAAAGACAGCCCAAGGCCCCACAGCAGCTTGCATTGCTTCACAGCTGGGCCTCATCTGGGCACCTCCAAATCCCAAACAAAGAAGAGGAATCTGCAGATCTCTCCATAGCTCCTGTTGGGTAGCCTCACACAGAGGCTAAATTAGCACCTCCTTAGAGATCCAAGAGCCAGTGTACCCAGTGGTCAGAGTGGGACCATCCAGATTACAACTCCTCAGATACATAAGGGACACACTCAGGGGGCAGACTCAGTGAGCACCAAAGCCCCACTGAAGCAAGTCTTGCCCAGAAGAGTGTCTCCAGCACAGAAGTTCTCCCACTGTAAACACAGCTGATTCTCACAGCCAATTGGCCTGGAGGTCAATTCCTCCCAGTGATACCAACTACAATCAAGGCTTAACTACAACAAGACTGTGCACAAAGCCCACAAAGGGTTGCACCAAGAGTGTCCACTTCAGGAAATTGTGGAGGCTAAGCCACTGGGCCCTATAGGACACCTAGCACACAAAGCCACTCTATCAACACAGGAAAACAGCCAAAATGCAGAGACAAAGAAACAGGTCACAAATGACAGAAATGGAGGAAGGCAAACTACTGGATATAGAGTTCAAAATCACGCTTATAAGGTTTTTCAAGAATTTTCTAGAAACCGCCAATAAATTTAGTAAGACCCTCAATACGTCTAGTAAGACCCTCAAGAAAATGAAAAAGGACCAACTAGAAATTAAGCATACACTGACTGAAATAAGAATATTATACAGAGATCCAACAGCAGACTAGAGGATCACAAGAATCAAGTCAAAGATTTGAAGTACGAAGAAGTAAAAAACACCCAACCAGAAAAGCAAACAGAAAAAAGAATCCAAAAATATGAAGATAGTATAAGAAGCCTCTGGGACAACTTCAGGCGTACCAACATCCGAATTATGGGGGTGCCAGAAGAAGAGAGAGAGCAAGATATTGAAAACCTATTTGAAGAAATAATGACAGAAAACTTCCCCTACCTGGTGAAAGAAATAGACTTACAAGTCCAGGAAGCGCAGAGAACCCCAAACAAAAGGAATCCAAAGAGGACCACACCAAGACACATCGTAATTACAATGCCAAGGGCAAAAGACAAAGAGAGAATCTTAAAAGCAGCAAGAGAAAGAAACCCAGTTACCTACAAGGGAATACCCATACGACTGTCAGCTGATTTCTCAACAGAAACTATGCAGGCCAGAAGGGAATGACAAGAAATATTCGAAGTGATGAATAGCAAGAACCTACAACCAAGATTACTTTATCCAGCAAAGCTATCATTCAGAATTGAAGGTCAGATAAAGAGCTTCACAGATAAGAACAAGCTAAAGGAGTTCATCACCACCAAACCAGTATTATATGAAATGCTGAAAGGTATTCTTTAAGAAGAGGAAGAAGAAAAAGGTAAAGATAAAAATTATGAACACCAGGTCAGAATGAATACTTGGAGAACAAAGATGGCAGCATAGGTTAACGCCGGAGTTTGCTGCCTTGAACAACTACTTCAAAAGTGAAACTAAAAAACGGAACGGACATCACCCAGAACCACAGGAACGCTGGCTGAGTGGAAGTCCTACAACTAGGAGGAAAGAGAAACGCATACGGACACTCAGAGGAGGCGCAGTGCTGAAGTCAAGTTCTGAGGTGCGGAGTGCGCGGAGCGGGCTGGCGGCGGAGGACGCGGTTGGCGTTTTCAATTGTGAGGGAGTCACAGACTCTGAGCTCCAGATACAGGCGAGTCTTTAGGGACCCAGACTCAAACGGGAGAAGCGGGACTGTCTGGCTTCGGTCAGAGCGAGTGCAGCTTTCTCTCCGAGCTTTGCAGCGGGTGCTGGGACTCAGAGAGGCAGAGCCCCTGGGGACAGGACTGAGAGCTGCCATAACTGCTCTCTCCAGCCCACCCTGTTGATCCTGTGCGACCCGCCCCGCCCAAGCCCTGCACACAGGCATTTGCCGGATAGCCTCAGGCAAAGGCTGGATTAGCACCTCCCTAGAGGACATAAGTTCTCTCACTGCTGACACAGCTGATTCTCATAGCCACTTGGCCTGGAGGTCAAACCCTCCCTGGTATTAGCTACAACAATCAAGGTTTAACTATAAGACTGCGAACAAAGACCACTAGGGGGTGCACCAAGGAAGCATAACAAAATGCGGAGACAAAGAAACAGGACAAAATTGTCAATGGAAGATATAGAGTTCAGAACCACACTTTTAAGGTCTCTCAAGAACTGTTTAGAAGCCACCAATAAACTTAATGAGATCTACAAAAAAACTAATGAGACCCTTGATGTTATATTGGGGAACCAACTAGAAATTAAGCATACACGGACTGAAATAACGAATATTATACAGACTCCCGACAGCAGACCAGAGGAGCGCAAGAATCAAGTCAATGATTTGAAATGCGAGGAAGCAAAAAACACCCAACCGGAAAAGCAAAATGAAAAAAGAATCCAAAAATGCGAAGATAGTGTAAGGAGCCTCTGGGACAGCTTC